TTTATTATCTCAATCTTCCAGTAGAATGTAAGGCCCATGAAAGAGGACTTTTGTCTGTCTTACTGACCCCTGTGTCTTTATCTACTAGAATGGTACTTGGCATATACTAGAAACTCAATATATATTGGTGGAATCAACGCATGACTAAAACCATGAGTCAATAAGTGGTTGAAACCAAAACATACCAACAGCATCAGAGAGTCCATACACCCTTTGACCATAAGCATCTGTCTTGTCCCAGATGAAGGTGTATGCCAGGTTGGGAGAAGCCTGGAATGACTTCTGGAAGAGATGTCCCTCTACAGCTACCATCAGGTGAACCCTGATGAGGTTCAGGGGCACGGTTGACTGTGTCATGGTGATCTTCAGCAGGGACTTGTACCCCGCAGTCCTAGAGCTCAGATAGCGAAGCTTCACATTGGATCCAGGGAGCTCGATTTCTTCATGAAGAACCTGGAGGAGAAACACAAGGTAGACACACTCCATCAGACACACGCCTGCAGGTGAGCTACTGGCAGCCCCGATACTGCCTGTCTGCTGCCTCCTTCACTGAAGCCTCATAGCTTATGTGGGTGCAAGAACCACTTACCACTGCTGAGAAAGAAAGAAAGAAAGAAAAAAAACAACAACCAAACTTTATCCTACACCATAGGGTGAAGGGGCTGAGGTTATGATTTTTGGATTAATAATTATTCTTGGTCACTGTTGTGTTTCTTTTTAAAAACCACACTGTTGGCAAAAGATGTAAATAAGAACAGCAGGCTTTATTGCTAGCTGCATGCAAGGAGGCCACGAGAGGCTGTAATTATATGAACCTACAACTTCCACTGACAATCGGTATAAAGCAACAGGGAGGCAATAATGTAATATGCCCTCTGTCGTAACACCGATGTAGATCATTAAAGCGCCTCTTATCATGTATCTCTGTGACTAACAGGAATAAAAAGCAATTTGCAGGTGGGTTGCACATATGTATATTGTTTTTATTTTATTAAAAGCTCCAGTGACCGCCGAAGTCTTGAACGACTGTCTGCATACATCTGAAAGGTCCAGGAGGGATTTACACTTTCTTCTCCAGTGGCTACAAATTCTATTGTGTTCCAGTTTTTTGGTCCTTTCTTCTTAATATTAGTTTCTGGCCCACCCAGGAAGAGAGATGTGTTGGGAGGAAGTTGGCCAGTTGGTTTTGGTTAGGGAAGTGTTGAGAGTCCTACCCGGACACCTGCCATTCCTACCTGGGTCTCAGGCACGATGGGATTCTGCCCAGGGGCAGCACTGAAGAAGGTTTATGGCATTTTTCTAATCAACGTCTGCTCTGTTTCTGATATATTTGATAATGATTCGTAACTATATTCTTGTTTGTTCCTCAGGAGCTGAACAGAGGTGTACTATCAGTAAAGTAAAACAAAGCTAGCTCTTTCCCAATGAACAGAAAAGAAGGAGAAAAGTTTCCCACTTTTAAGCTTTATTCTCCCACTGGAATCTCAACCCTTTGAGGGCTGTGGTGCTCTCTGTCTTGTTCATTTCAGAATCCCCAACAACTAACATAGTGCCTGGATCACAGGGAAAACTCCATGAAAATATACTGACTTGCTGGCTGCACCCAGTTTTAATAACCTGTTGAGTAGTCATAAAATGAATGAACAAGGAGCATATGCATACAGGGGTAAATATCAGAGCATGTATAATGTAACTGTTTATTTATTAATTTGTTACTTTATATATGTGTTTATTGGGCATGCATGCTGCTGGGGATCCAGAAGAGTCAAATGTCTGAAGCAAAATTGCTCCTAGTTGGCATGATGGAATCAACATGAATGTTTGTAGCACACACCACTATACAACAGATTGTGGGATTCCTTGGAGCATTCCCAAACACGTCCTGTGACTTCCATGGCTTTGTAACCTGAAGAAGCTGAAGAGTCACTGATCCAGGAGGTTGCAAGGATGATCTGGGAAGTGGGTTTACACCATAAGTAGTCAGGAAGCAGCTTAGACGGCTGGGACAGCATGAGGAGGGGACAGACAGCAGACCAAGAACTCGGAAATGTCTTGTGTTGTTTCACAGGACTTTACTGGAATTGACTCAAGGATGTAGTTCTTTAAGGTCACTGGTTTCTAAGAATGAACAAGTGCCAAAATAGACCTGCACAGTACACATTTGTTATCCTAGGGCTTTAAAAATAATTAGATTTGGCTACAGAAAGGTATGCGTGCGATAGAAATTCATTGAATAATGAGGATTTGATGTGAAGCATAGACCCTTTCTTTGCATTTCAGAGGTGGGAACATGAGGGTAGAGCTACTGTGGGCTGGTCATTTTCGAAACTGCCTACAAGGCCACTTTAGGACATTAGAAAATAAGGCCAGACTCTTTACCAGAGAAAGGCAAGAGTCACAATTCTTACCTATTTGATATGTCCATGATTTTCCAGAGTCCAGTTTTATAGGAAAATGTGTTGCATCAGATTTACAGCAACAGTCCCCTTTTTCATTTGAATAGAATATAATTTTTTTTTTCAGCTCAGAGTGAATGACCGTTTTCCCCTTCCCACAGATTTCTTTTCTTCCTACCTTTTCCTTTAAATTTCTACTCTATGCCCAGTGGATTAAGAAAATGACAGAGCTTTCATCTTGGTGGGGGCCGAACAGGTATGTGTTTCCAATCAGAAGATAATGGGGAAAGGTTGCCTCCTTCACACAGCAGGTGACTGCTAAATGTATTTAATTAGACTTCTCTGATTACATCCCCCTCCCCCCCATGGTAGCGAAAACAACACAACTTCTAAAGCCACAGATGAAAACAGAAGGGGATCACCACAGGACACTATGTCATGTGGATTCTTGTCACCCTGCACTGCCTTTGATTTAAAATAGGAGTTACTTTCTAAGAGATACCTTCTCTTTTTCTTTCTAGAATCCACCTCCACCCCCAACACACACACAAAAGTACTTACCTGACATGGAAAAGGAGGGTAATGGCTGTCAGCAGCCCTGAGTAGGTTGGCCTTTCTATTTATTTACCTGTTTTGCATCCACACCTTAAAAAGCCTGCAATATCTTTGGGGGGATCCTCACTAGAGGTCTGGCCTGGTGGGCATTCCAGGCCACCAAGGGGGGAATCATGTGCCCAAGTCAATTGCACCGTCTGTCTCTTTGCATGCACTCTCAGTCCTGAGTAGGTACAAATCCCACAAAGCTACTTACGTGCCATCCTGGCGGGTGATGGTGTAGCCATATTTTGGGTACTTCACAAAAGACACGTTCACACCAACCAGGGGAGTCCCATCCGTAGTTACTACTTGGCCTCGGATAAGAGAAACCAAGCTGAGAGAGAAACAAAACACAGGTTTTGGAGCCACAGGCAGGAGAACAAAGAGTCTAGGGGGGTTGTTGAGCTCCCCTTCCCCACTACCCTTCAACTGGTCTTAAAACAGTCCTCCTCTGATCCCTAAGACAAGGAGAAGACCTTAAACATTAACTCTGGTTCCACACAATCACACCACAGAGAGATATGGGCTAAAGAAAGGTCTCAGTGCTTTGCTTTGCATGAGGAAGAAAACTAACAACATTTTGGCATGATTGCCACGGGTAGCATCTGCCACCACTTGGCTGGGCGCTGGGGTCTCCCGTGCACCTTCCTTCTACCCTTGGCCTTGCTCCATTTCGTGACATTATTTGACTTTTGTTTGGCCTGAGCTTGAGGCTTCCCCTCATCACTCACGTGTGCGCCTTGGCTTGGCACAGAGAGTATTATACTCAGGTGAGAGCTTCCCCATCTGGCTACTCATTTTCTTCTCTGGCTTTGGAGGAAAGCCAAAGTCTCACCTCAAGACTGGGATGTCAGAAGGGGTGAAGGGGAGCACACAGAAGTTTTTATGAGGCTGAGACATCCACATACATTGTTTTTTGCTTCCCCCTAAGAGCAAAATTTCTCACAATCCATAAGAGCCTAAGGAAAAGGGAACACTGGAGATCTATATCTATATCTATACCTGTATATTGTTTTCTGGTAGAAACATGTTAGATTCTGGATTCCATGTAACTACATATTTACCTTGTGTCAAATTCCTGCTATCTTGAGAGGGGAGATGGATAAAATTCTACCCAACTTTTTCCCAGCATCAAGCAAAGCTTCCCTCTCTCTAGACCATAGTAACTAAAACTTTCCCAAGAATGCCAGTTTCCAACCAGCTTTCTCTGGGAAATCCTGTAAAGCCATGGAGATGCCATAATATTCTATCCAAAGTCCACAGACGGAGAATGTACATGTCTCCTCTCACCTGAATTCTCTTGACTTCATGGAGAAATGAGACCATGAGAAACTTTGTTTTTGCTTGGAGCCCCCAGCTGAACAGACAGATCTGCAGCTATATTTTTGGCCTTGAAGACCCTGGACAATTTGGCGAAGGCAGAGAGGTTCTCAGGCTCCCAGTTTCCTGGACACACTGCCAATTTCTGCACCAGGTAATCAAACTGACCCATACTTTGCCAGAATCTTGTCAAAGTCTGTTTCACTTTTGGAATGCACTTACTTTTGCAATCCCGGGTGCCATGAAAACTGGAGGGACACTGTCTCTAAGCATCTCTCTTTTTATTAGTAATACCGCCAACTGCTCAACTCCAACCCTTTGATGATCTCAGGAGTGTTTAGACTGTTCCACTGACAGCTCTAATTGTCTGCTACTGGCTGTCTAACAAATAAATCCCATTTTTAGCTGGTTCCAACCACAGTGCTAGAGTCTTTTGAAAATGGAAAACTAATTTATGAAAATAATCCTTTTGTTCATTTCCATTTTCCTAAGATTTCTTTAAGGCCTTACCAGACACTATTTTAAAATCGATGACGTGTGTTGACGACCACAAGGTACACAGGGGTAGGGATGAGAAAACAATATTGAGACTACATTCCACTGTGGGGGTCTTCTCCTTCCTTCTTTATACAACTGCTATTTCTTTTAAATCATTTGTGTAGCAAAAGACTTTGCTGAGTGCAGTAGGAATAAAAGGACCTGGGTTGCCTGTGATTTCTACCCTCTATTTTTCTAATTCTTCATTGCTACTGGCTTTTTATCGTTTCCAGGCAGTCAATTTGCAGAAAAGATTCAGCTAAGACTTGCTATCAGTTCATTTCTATTTATGATTATTGATGTGTAACAATTATCACATTATCTAGATAGTGAGATCTGCTCTATAAATTATAGTGTTGGAGTCAAGGCATTTTAGTTATTTTTGTATGCCATTATCTACAGGAACGCCTTTTTAGAAGTCTTGAATTAAGTTCTTTTTTACTGCTAGCTTTGTCCTTCATTATGTGTCAGATGATAATGCACTGAAATTCACATGCTTACTGAACTTCAACCTATGTCTTGGAGTATGTTTTGTATTTCTGAATTATGTATCCACGCAGACATGCTGGAGAGGGCAGGCTCATTTGGGTGATGCTACTTATTGCTACATTCAAAGCTCCAGAAAGGCTTTCTCTAGGGCAACTTTCTTTTGCTGAAGTCTCTTGGGCTCGTACAGTCCACCAAATATCCTGGAGTCTCTGTATCCTGTCCCAAATATCCTGCTGTCTTATATCTTGGCTCTAGCTCAAGATGCCTTCTGGGGCCGAGCCCGTGGCGCACTTGGGAGAGCGCGGCGCTGGGAGCACAGCAGCGCTCCTGCCGCGGGTTCGGATCCTATATAGGGATGACCGGTGTGCTCACAGTGCTCACTGGCTGAGCGTGGTGCGGCCGGTCTCAAAAAGGACAAAAAAAAAAAGATGCCTTCTGGAAGTGGTAACTATTGGTGAGGAGGATAATATTAAATTAGAAGGAATAGGTGAAAAAAGAGTATAAAAAGGAGACTATCAGGAAATGACTAGATTGAGGGTAGAAATAATAAAATGTTAATTAGGAAGTGAATTGAAACAGAGGATGCATTTACAGTATAAGCAAACTGTATGCAAAACCCCACCGAAATGCTTATGGCTTAGTGCAAGCCCTGGTCATGACTCTCTGCAAGATGAATTATGTTCATAATTAAAAGGAAGCATACCTACAGAAACTGTCCCAGAACTCGGATTTAACAAGCAGAAAAAAATATATATTTATTTTTTTGTCCAGAGATTTGTGGTTCTTAAAATCTTTTGAGAGGCTCTTCCATTAAAATAAATGATAATATTACTGTGTGTAGTATATCATATTATTCTAATTTTACTAATCAAGAAAATGAAGTGTGTGAGTCCAGTGTGACACAGCTAGAAAGTGTCAGACTGAAATAGGAGAGAGTTTAGATTATTTTTTTCTTTTCTATTATTACTTCTTTTTCTATTTTGTTTTTAGTAAGACTAGAACAGAGAGAAGTTGAAGTTGTTGGCTTAAGGGGATCTTCTTAAGAACTTCCATAGTCAAAAGAGCTGCCAGGATGGGGGCTGTCCCACCTTCCAGAGGCTCTGGCCCAGTGACATCTCCTCCCCAAAGTCTAATGAGGGGAGCTCCAGGAGAATCACTTATACAGTTAGGGGCCTTTGTAACAAGTGAAGTCTGAATCTCCTTCCCTGGCTGGGAGCCTAGGTAAGCTGTATGCCTCTGGAGTTGCTCCTGAGCCCCTCTGAGTGAGGATAGAGAGAAATAAGAGAAAGATGGTGTTAGGGTGACTGTCAGAGGGGGCCATCCCACTCAAGTTCCCGGTGCCTAGAGGTTTTGTAAAAGAGGAGCCAACCAGCAGTCACTTCCCCAAGCAAGGGGCACAGAAATGTGGTGGGGCACCCTCAAGAAGACCATGCCAACCCTCCCCACATCATCAGATGCCATCAACATCTGGACCTGGAGTGGCCGGGGTTGAGAGCCATCCTGCGGCCTGGCCAGAAGAAGACCCCCGCCTCTCCTAACACTCCTCTCTACCCTCAGAATCAGAAACACTGCCTAGGAGAGGGAAGGGGGTGGCGTGGTGGGGAGGTGCCTCCACGCCAAACCTTCCTCTTGCTCTCTACTCCAGGCGCCCAGTTTTAACCTGCTGTAGGGCAAAGGAAAAGGCTGATTTGACCACAAACAAATCCTGAATTTGATCCCAAACCTCAAATTAGCAACTGAGAGCAAAAACAAACTTGAGAGAACGAGCGGACACAGCAGCACAGTGGCTCATACATGCACATAGTAGGTAACTAGGAGTTGCAATAGACGGGGTTGCTGTGAGGATTAGAGACAACCTACATGAAGTCTCTGGCTCATCCTAGGTGCTCAATAAATTCTCACAACTGGCATCATCTCGACTCTAAGGTACTATGGATGATAGGTTATGTCAGCAAGTTAATAATAGCTTTCAGAAATACTCTGTTGAATGAACTATTTCAGCAGTGCTCAAACAAAAGTCACTATCGGAGGCATTATACAAAGAGATTTAAAATGACAATTATGTCATAACATAATAGAGCATAAGAGTGATCTAAACAACAGGGAATCAATAGGTGTCTCCACCAGGTTCTGGGTTGGAGGTGGCCAAATCCTGCAGGGAGACCAGGACTCTCCTCTGCAGCTCCACCCAAAGTGAGGAAAGGGCCCTCCCTGAACCACAGGAGGGAGCTGCCTCCAGGGGGCAGTTTCCAGGCCAGCTGGGTCCACAGAAAAGTGGAGCACTGCCTCCCGCTCCAACAGGAAGGAAACCAGTAACTTGAGCGGCCTGCAAGAGCACCTACCTGCTATTGAAGGGGTTGTCTCCAGGAATGATGTGGGTGCTGTCTTTGCCTGCCAAGAGCTTGATGCGATCATAGAAGGACTTCACCGCGGGCCAGTCTGTCTGGCCCTGCTGAATGATGTCCAGGGGGTCCCGGGATCCCCGGCAGAGTAGGCTATTCTGACAGGCTGACTGCAGGCAGCAGTCAGGGTCCAGGCAATCCACCAGGCCATCTGGAAGGGCAGAAGCAGAGCCAGGGTCAGCGGATTTTAATGACACAAAGCTGCTTGGAGAAGCTAACACCTTTGTTACCAGCACAGGCAGGAGCAGTATCAAACCTTCCCAAGGGCCTGAGTTGGCAGGTGTCCCACAGCAAGCCTAGCATAATTCCAATCTATACACACTGGAAACAAAAGACAGAAGGGAAGTAACTGAAAATGTTGACACATGGTTATCCCCAGCTAGTAGATGAGTTATTTTCTCTTCGTTTTCCTTAATATACTTTTCCGGAATTTTTAATTTTTTTCCTACTGTGAGCAAGTAGTATGTGAGAGGTTGGAAATAAAAACAAATACTTTGCTTTCCAACAACACAGCACAAAAATTATCCATAGCCAGTACCCAGAAACCTGTGCTAATGGGTGTACAAGTAACCAAAATGCATGGGATTCCTAAAATCTCCCTTCAGTGCAGAAAATCATTCCATCCCTGCACCTCTAAGCCAGGGAGGGAACTGCTGACCAGTTGGAAAACCAGGCACTGTGAGTTTTACATTTTCCAGGAAATGTGGAGAAATGGCTTTGGCCTGTAACCAAAATGCATGGGATTCCTAAAATCTCCCTTCAGTGCAGAAAATCATTCCATCCCTGCACCTCTAAGCCAGGGAGGGAACTGCTGACCAGCTGGAAAACCAGGCACTGTGAGTTTTACATTTTCCAGGAAATGTGGAGAAATGGCTTTGGCCTGGGAAACAGGAAATCGAGCCATCGTTCACCCAAATGCTTCTGGTTCTTTCTTCCTGTGTGCCTGCAGAACTTCGAACATTCTGATTTTCTCGTCTAGATTCTTGCCCCTTCATCCTTTTCCTGGGCTGATTCCTATTCATTAATCTACCATTCAACAAATATTTGAATATTCTCCATGTGCTGAAAATTAAACAGTAAGCAAAAAACCATGGCGTCTGTCCTTAAGGAGCTGACAGAATAGTGGGGGAAACAGACATTGCCGACTCATCCTTTGAGACTCAGTTTAGGTGTGGCCACCTCCTCCAGGAAGCCTTCCTAGTGATGCCCCTCGCCAGGTTAGTGTCATGGACTGAATGTTCATGTTCCCCTAAAATTCATATCTTGAAATCCTAACACCCAAAGTGATGGTATCAGGAGGCAGGGTCTGTGGGAGGTAATGAAGTCATGAGGGTAGAGCCCTCATAAACGGGATTAGTGCCCTTATAAAAGAGACCCCAGAGAGCTCTCTAGCCCTCTTTCTGCCATGTAAGGACCCAAGGAGAAGACGGCTGTCTCTGAACTAGGAATCGGACCCTCACCAGACACTGGATCTGATCTTGGACTTCCGGGCCTCCAGAGCTATGACAAATAAATGCTTTTTGTTTAAGCCACCCTGACTATAATATATTTGTTATAGCAGTCTGAAGTAAGACATTTAGGTATTCCTGTTCTGTACATCCCTGAATCAGAGGTTCTCAAAGAATGGTTTGCATCAAAATCCTGTGGGGACAATTAAAGGCCCACCCCAGACATCCCCAGGGAGAGCCTCTAGGAGCAGATCCTGGAATCTGCATTTTAAGCATGATTCTCAGGTGATTCTAAGGCACAATAAATTTTAGAAACCATTGTTGTTAATGCCAGCTTTCTTGTACTGGAATTAATTATGTCTTTATGCTTGCTTCCTTCTCTGGAAAATGAGCTCTTTGAAGAGAACAGTGTCTTAGTAATTTCTATATTTATGCCTTGCTTATTGCAAAGCGTGGAATTGGGCACTCAGCAAATGTTTGTTGAATGAATACACGACTGTTTCCCATTCCCCACGTGTCTGTTAGGTCTGAGGACAGGAATGTTCAGGGCAGGTATGCTCTTTAGAATTTTCTATTAGAATGGATTAGTTGGCTAACCCTTATTTACTCTGCTGGGAATTGATTGAACACACAGTGGAGGATCTTGGAGAATAACTTGCTTGCACCTCTTGGATTTGATGGCAAGACGGTTTTTTTTTTTTTTTGGCCATAATTAGCATCATAGAAACATGCACTCAAACCCTGGGCTGTGTCTTGACAAACACTTGTACCAGAACGCTGAATCAGAGGCCTGGCTGTGTGCTTTAAATTTGCTACAATGTAATTTTTTGGCATTACCCTTTTTGTTTGGTCCTGCTAATGAAATTGAAATATATAATTTCACTAAAGTTCCACTATAATTTAGCAATTAATGTACAATTATTTTAATGCATTACTTTCTTTTTAGCAAACAAACAAATTAGGAGGTTGCATGTTTTGCTTGGCTTTAAATTACTAAAACTAGCCTCTCATTTTCCACATGGGCAAATGTTGCTTGCTTGCCTCGTAACGCATTTAGATTTACAAAATTTCCTAGAAATGCAGACACAGGAGGGTGAGCAGGCACACACACACTTTAAATTTAGAGACATTTGAAATTGAGACTCTGAACATCTCAGCCCAGTGTGCTAGCTGAATCAGATACTCCCCAGAGCCTAGTAAACCTCAGACTCCAGAAACAGAGCTGGAGAATTGTATCTCAGTAGCAGAATGACATTGAGGCATTGTTTCAGATCCACATTCAGATTGTCCAATCTGGACCTAAGGGCCACTGGCAGAATAAGAAAAAGAAAAGAAAAGGGAAAAAAATGCGTAGAATTGGCCTTGAACATCACCTTCCATGGACTGCCTTTATCAGACAGAAGGGATCTACCGCAGAATGGCTGCTTCGGATTTTAAAAATAACCCGCTGAGATGTTGGCAGTGCTTCATTCAGCAGCCACAGAAACTTCTCCACTGAGAAGAAACCCACTGTTGTCAGCACTATAGATTTCTTTAAGGTCACTGGCCTCTTCCCATTAGGAGTTCCATCCATCTCTGGTGGCCTTTCCGTCCTGAAGCTGGGAGAGTTTTTCCTCCCCCTCCAACCCATTTACTACCCACTCCATATAAACAGCTTGAGGACCTCTTTGGGCTCGAATAATTATTTAAGACAGTTTTCCTATTAAGCGCTGAACACTTTCCTCTCCCACCCCCTCCAGCCTGCCACTCTTTCTGGGCTTATGACTGCTTCAAAACTGTGAACCTCCCACTTCCCCACTGTTTTGTCGATTCTGGGCTTTTTATTTCAAAGGCCTGTCTGCCAAGGAGATGTCCGAAACACATCAGCAATAGTAGATGACAAATGCTAAAACAGAGAAAAAAAAGGATATAAATTATTTTCCCCCACATATTTACATTTACCTGCTCCAGAGAATGTGCATCTGGGGTTCTATCCGTTATTAAGTGTGAGCTTACGTTATGCCTGTAATGACCTCATCATGCTGCGTGATTATGGGCTGCTGCCGTCGGACACTTGCAGATGACACTGCGAACTTTAAATTGGCACTCCAATCTCTCAGTGGCCTGTCAGTCATGAGAATGGCATCTTTATGCCAGCAAGCCCCTTGGATGGAGTCTGACATTGCAATCTTCAGTAAATTACCCTGTCACTGACAATCTTGCAGTTATCTTGCAAACAATCAAGCAGGCAATCAAACGGTTCTGAATTGCTGGTTCAGGACCTGCGAGGCGGCCAATGACTCCATTCAACAGCAGCAGGAAAGCGGCACAGCCCTTCTATGACACTGGATGATTTATTTATTTATCTCCCTATTTATTTGTTTTTTGTGTCGGCTTTTTCCTGGGGAGGGTGGTGAGGGTGGTGGGAGACATCTGCAGAGTCCTTGAAAAGGGCTCAGTTCTGACTCGGCACTTATGGGAAAGTGACGTAGGCCTTCCCAGTTGGGCCCACGGCAGTGGCACCTCATCTTATTTCACTCTGTGAACCATGGCCAAGGAGAATCATCTAGGTGCTTTCTGTCAGAATGGATGCTAAATCACGGCTCTGGCTGTATTCTACACATATACGTTGTACGGTAATTATAACAGCAATTTCAGAGAAATGTAGACGTGGAGAAACTTTCTGGGAAAAATGTGTGAAGCATTTTTTTTTATTGCTTTTGATAAAAAATCAGAGAGAAACTTCCGTAACAGTTCTGGCAACATGAAGCAGAAACCAGGTTAATTAATGCTGAATAGAATCTTTTGGATTGGAAGTCCTAAGATAAAAAGCCAAAAAATCTTCATAGCATCAGAGGTAAGGGCCTGGCATTTGGAATCAGATGAATTTGGGTTTGAAACTCATCTCCCCTAGATCCTGGCTGTTTGAGCCTGAAAACATAATCAATCTTGCTGAGACTCAGTTTCCTTGCCTTTAAAACTGAGTTATAATAGTGGATATGCCATAAGGTTATGTGATAGGAAACAGATGAATTGATAGATACATATAAGATCAGTCTGGCATATAGCATGTGTTCAATGTACTAAAGGTATTACTATAACCAGAAACTCCC